ACCTGCTGACATAAAGCTCCCATTTCTTGGAAAGCTTGACCCTTTTATGTTGCTATAACTAAAATACTGTTGAGCAGGGGGTGCTGCAGGTCAGGGGAGGCCCCTGCAACTATGCAAGGTATTCCACACGCTTGCCTGGTGCTTTGTTGTTGCTTTCTTTTGTTTGTTTTTGCTTTCCTCCTCTGAATGACAAATGAATTAATTGAAATTAGACAGAACTCCTCTAACTTCTGGGAGCGAGCAGCTCCAGGAATGGGCCGCAAAGCTGGAAAGCTGGAGTTGCACTGCTAGGCTTAAGTAAAGGCACTGGAGGTCAAACAGCAACAGATGCTGCAGTGAGCCCACCCCTCCAGGCAACCCCCTTTTTGCAGGGTAAAATGTTCATCCCCTCCACCTCTCCAGACAGAGCTTTTATCTTTGCCCTCGAGCCGAGTTTTTCAGGTATGGGAGGCCAAGAGGAGCCCTGCAGGTTTTGCAGCCTCAGCAGTTGCTGTGGCCCCGTTAGTGATTTCCAGCTGGTCCGTAGCACCACATGCTCCACTGAACTTACAGTTTATCAATATAAAGTTTAATTACTACAGCATGTGGTGGTGTAAGAGACACCCAGTGGGTTGACAGTGGCCAACTGTGTTCATTCCCATCCCTATGTGCTTCATCCTGAAGGAAGCCCAAACCACAGGCACATTCCAACACCCCTTCAAAAGTCCCAGATCGCTGGTGTCTGGTGGTTGCTCCTTTTCACATTGATCCTAGTGAGACCACTGAGGCCTTATTCACCTGTGTCTCTCTGTTGCTTTCCTTTGCTCTCCCTCATTTTATCCTTGTCCTGTAAGATTTTTGCAGCAGGATGTCACACACAGTGTTCAAACCAAGGCCTCTGGGCACTGTTGGAATAAACATCGATATATATATATGAACACACACATGTGTATGTTTACAGAAATGATGAAAATATGGGCAAGTCTGTGTTTGTAACTGGAGCACAGTGCAGAAATCCCTCAACCTGTGCAGACCAAAGATGCCACAGCAAAACCAGCGACCCATGGACTGCTTCCCTGTGAGCTGGCTGGGATTCACAGGCCATAGGAAGCCAAGAGAAGGGTTCCACAGCCCAAACACAACTCCATGTGCTCATGGCTTTACATTTTCCAGACCAGAGCAAGCTGAAGAAGAGCAAGTTCTCTTGTGGTGTGGGTGTGCTTATAGACTACTTCTCGGTAGTCCCAGTTTTACAGGCAGACGAGTAAGAAGCACGAGTGGTGTCACGGTAAGACCTACTGATCTGGAGTGGTTTTATCATGACAGTAAACATGCTTCACAGTGGCAGTCCTTCACCTCAGCTCAGAGGGGCCTCATCAGTATGACCTTAGTTTCCTAGGACTTCAGCAGGACATTGCTATGTGTGGAAATTATCTTTGAAGACTATAATTTAGGGAAAGCCTATGTTTTTAACAGGCGAATATGAATGTCTAATGCATTAGACAATCTATGGAAGTGGGACAGATAGCTGTTGTGTCATAGCAGGCAGAATATTTGGTTTTAAACAAGGAGACACCTGGTGCCTATGTGATTAAATTAGCGGAGTTATCTCTGATTATTTGGCAGAGTCATATGACGGAGCATGATGGAGTCACCACCGTGGCTTAGTGCAGTACCACCCATGTGCTCCATGTTAGCGACGATGACTCACGGTGTTAACACACTGTGCGGGGGGAGGAAGGCCCCTGGGCTCCTTCACAACAGCTCGGCTGACATTTCAGTGAGCTACAGCAGCACTGTCCATCCGGGCTGGGCATGCCCAAAGAGACAGTGACTGAGATCCAAGATCCCATTGTATCCAGCTGCAGGCTCCTGTGGGAACAAGATGAAAATTCTTAAACTTGGGGGGAAAAAAAAAAAAAAAAGAAAAAAGAAAAACATAGATGGCCAGATATCAGTAAGCTCTCTGCCAGTTCTCTGTCTTATCTGTCCTTTCTCTGCAGGCTGCTTGCCCAATAACCATATTTACTTAGCGACACAGATGCCAAGGAATTAAATTCTTCAGTCAGCAATATTCACCAACAGGTTGGAGGCTGCATCACCTCGGCCTTTACAAAGAGAGCAGCAGAGCCAACGTGTCCAACATTATAAATGATAATTGTAACATCCTGCTGACTTTCCTTTGCTGTAGGTTAAAACGCCACAGCAATGGGATTTTGTTGTCCTCAGCCGAAGAGCAGATGTCTTAGAGCTGGGCAAATTGAGCACTTGGTCCCGTAGGATTCAAAGGCATGAACGTGCCCTGCATCCTGTGCGAGTGCCCGTGCACACGTGTGAATCACTGCCCTGTGTTCAGCGTGGAGGCGACACAAGGGTTGTGCGTATGGGCCGGGGTGGGTGCAGAGCTGAGCCTGGCCTACGTTATGCAGCACTTCTATGGGTGGCAGGAGCCGCACAGGCGTCTCGGCAAGCGGGGCCAGCCTTGAAGCACAAGGCTGCTCTGACTGCTCTGCAAAAACACACTGGGGAATAGACTAGCAGGAGTTTTAGTTGGAAAAATATACCTGAACGTACTGAGGATTTTTTTTTTCCATCGAGTGTAAAGCACATGCAGGCCCCCACAGCAAAGCAGCGTTAAAGGTGAAACAGGGGACAGCAAAGAAGCTTCTTTGCCATTTTAATAAATACAAATAATTCCCTTTTGCCCAAATCCCAAAGTCCCAAGCTCATTAAAGCAATTTCAGATTTTTTTTTGGCTCTGGAACATATAAGCAAAATTCAAACCATGCAGTCCCTCGAGAATCCCTTGCACAAATTGCATAGGTCAGGCCAAAATAAGTTTCTGTCAAACAGCCTAACACCTAGGGTTATTATGGAGCTGGTGAGTTGTACAAAAGGTCTGTATGTAGGACAGTCTCACGATGTCTAACGGCAGCGGGGCTGTTGTCACAGTACCGGCTTTACCTGGGCCGTGCTGAAACCCCAAGTGGTATTTTTGTGGAACACCTTCCTTCTGCTGTGGCTCTGCTCCTCAGGTTTTTCGTCGGAGCTCTTCTCCTGTGCCAACTCCATTCCTCTTGTGCCATCTCCACACTAACCATGCTCGGTGCTGTGCCGACTTGTCCACACTCTGCTATCCCAGAACTGATCCGTGCTCCTCAAAGCACTTCTTGGACCCTCTCACAGGACTTCACCATATTCATGAGAACCATCCCCTTGACTTTCTTTGTGCAGTGGGAAGATGCACAGCATATTCCTCCATCGGCCAGTAGCCAGAGAGACATAGGGAGGGCTCTATATCTGAGGTATATTTGTTGGCTTTTGTTTTTGTTTTCTTTTTATTTTCATTCTGAATAAGTACTGTATGTGCCTGGGAGGGTGTTTCAGACATCCTGCAGAACACAGGCTTGTTCTCTTCGTGGAGAGCTGAGACAAAAGGAAGGGCTCGGCCCCTCGCAGCTGCCAGCGAGAGGGCAGCTGAGGGCAGAGGGCCAGAGCGCTGGGCAGGACAGGCTGCCGCGTCTAGGCCTGAAGAAGCTGATGTTGCCATGAGGCCCATGTCTGTGGGACCCTGGGCATGATGGCCTCCATGCTGAATTCCTGCCTTTGGCCTCTCCTCTTCTTTTAGCTAAATGGAGAGTCCCTCCAACCACATGAAAGTAGTTGGAGGGACAAAAAAACAGTGTCCTGTCCCTTGATGGGGTGAGAAGGGGCCTGTCTTCCCCCCGCCAGCTCTGGGGTTATGGCTTAGTTGAGGCCTCCGTGGCTGGCAGTGGGTTGGCACTAAAGCTAAAGGTGCTTCTACCGAGGCTCAGAGGCAACCACAGAGGTACCACAAGCAATTAACTCTTCCCATGCCCGCAGAGGCCCTCCTGATAACCCTGCTGACACCAAGAGGCTGTGAATATCATGGTGATGTTCCCTTCTGCCAGCTCCTTCCCGTACTTCCAGGAGTATCTCCTGCCTGATAGAGCTGTATTGCACTGCAGAATGTCCTGCTTTGTGGGACTTCAGCGGGCCAAGTTATCCCAGCAATGCTTCCTGAGGCAGTGCACGTGGAAGCTCTCTTATTTTCCTGATTTTCAAAAGACAGCACTTGTTTTACTTACCCCTTGTTTCACTTACCCCAGGCTCCAAGCAATTCATACTTCCTTCACAAACTACTTTTTTCTTTTTTTTAAAAAAAAGGCTGATTACCTTGACCAATTCCCAAGACCACGTTCTTAAAGGCTGCTATCAAAAAGTAATCCCAGCTCCTCTTAATCCATCAGTTTTATGACTCTTCTTCTTTGTTAGCAGGCCTACTTTTTCTTTTCCCTGTGCTGCACTTAAAAAAATCCTTCTAAATCTTTTAAATTCCTTCTGCCAAAATAACTCTCTCTGCTTTTTTATAGTCCTTACTATTTGCCTTTACAAGCCACTTAATCTGAATGTAATTTTGCTCATTTTTTTTCCTCCTTTTCCCCCCATTTCCTGTGCTCCATTGACATGCTAATAAGTAAAATTAGGACCCTCACTTTGGAATAAAAACCTAACAGAGTTTTACAGGACAGAATATCGTGAGTGGAGATGAAATGCTCATTAGAGTGCTTTATTTACAGCTAATAAAATTTCAAAATTAATTTAAGTGTCCTTAAATTTCTGTTATAATCTGAAAAGCTGCCATCCAGATACTTTTTTCCCCCTGCAAAGGTAGAATTTAGAGCAATGCACTGATGTAGCACATCAGGAGAGTTTCCTACTCTACCCGTAGAAATGTGTTCCTGCATGGTGCCGGGCACCTAGATTCAGACCGACTGCTACGTTTGCATTCACGTTGTGTCGCGGGAAATATCTTGGTGCTTTAGCCAAATAAATAGTAGTTTTGGAGAGGTGGTTCGTGTGTTTCTTGAGAACTTGTGGTTCTGCTGATTTATTGCTGTGGAAAACCGAGGGAACACCGAGCAAAAGAAACACCGAGCAAAGGCCGGTGCTGCTGGAGTGCCCGCCGCCTGTGACAGTGCTCTTTGCTTTTCTCCTAGGCCTGTCCCAGGTTCTCTGTCTTCACTCCTGCACCTGCACAACCGACAGCGCCAGCCTATGCCTGCCTCCATGCCCGGCACCCTGCCCAACCCAACCATGCCCGGCTCCTCTGCTGTGCTAATGCCTGTAAGTTTGGTGTGGGTTTTTGGGGGGTCTTGTTTGCTTGGTTCAACCTATGCAGAATAAAAAGCTGCTGGAGTTTCTAAAAAAAAAAATCACAATGAGCTAAAATAGGGAAGCTAGACCTTTTCCTCCATTTCATCTTGCACAAGAGTATTTCTGCTGCAATTAATGGAATGTTAATTAGTGTGAGAGTGATTTTAAGCAGTTTGCAGGAGACTACAGTTTCTGATTCTCACTCTTGATCATGGAGGTGAGATCAGTATGTCTGCTGGAACAGAACGGTATTTTTGAAGTCAGCCTCAGAGCATACTGGGCAAGTCATGTACCTAAATTATGCCGGCGAGCTCTAAAGTAATCTTCTGGGAGATAACCAGCTAATAAGAAAGAAATGTGACTTACTTGACAGGCCTGGTTACTTGCACTAAATTAGAGCTTAGTCCTTCACAGTCACTGCTCATCTTCAACTAGTTTCTGAAAAGCTAGGAATAATAACTGTCTTCTTGATGATGCAGAGCACTTCTTAATTGTAGCTTCAAAATATTAAATGTTTTTTAACAACCTTGTCAATATAAAACATTTAGGAAGACAAGAGGCAGAAGCTAGTTTAGGAAACAAGGGGCATGTGAAGGCAATTTTGGAAGGCAACTTGACAGCCATCAAACATGGTGTGGAAGAAGGTGTTGCTTGTTCAGGCTCTGCTAGAGCAAGGAGGGCATTCAGAAAAGTCAGGTTTTCCTGCCCTCTTAGCAGCCATTAATGGGTAATTAATTAAAAACTTATCAGTAAGGCTCTCTTGGAATATCGACCAGGAAGTTCAACCAAAAATACTGTTGCTGTGGCGGGGCTCCTGAGGCATGAAGTGGTGCAAACATCCTGCCTCAGTGCAAGCCCAGGGTCCGCTTGATGCTGCACCATGACCCTTCTCACCATCCTGCTCTTCTGAGCAACACATTGGGTGTAACACTGCTTGTGTCTTTGCAGGGAAAACACTGCAGAAAAGTATTTTAGCCAGTGCTCACTGCCACGAGGGTTTTGCCTTCCTAGCTCAGTGAGTTAGCTTGCAATAAGCGCGCTGAACAGCCAGAAGGGCTTCTGCTCTCCTTTCTGCTGCATCAGCAGCACATGAAAGCCTCCCTAACGAGACATGTGGAAAACTCTTCTAGGTTGAGCAGTCCAAGTCGAGGAGAAAAAAAAAAAAAAAAGTCGACTCGTTTTCCATATACTCTAGATTGTGGATTTTTATTTATGTTTTTAACAAGCTAAGTTGGGCTGCACTGACAGGAGGAGCCGCAACTTTATACAGTGATGCTTTTAAAACCACTTAACTCGGAGTGTTGTTATACTAAAAGGGAGAAAATCATTACAAAAAAGCACAGACCTGGGTGGCTGATACATTTGTTTAGCAAAGAATCGTTTTCTTTATAATTGGCTGTGAGGTTTCAGGGACTGTGCTGATGAAACCCCCGGCTGTGTACATACACACGTGCAACTCCTGCAAGAGATTGCTATTTCCCCACTCATGACCTAAAGAAATGAAGCTGAGTCCACTTAAAGAGAAACTGGGGGTAAATTCTTGTGAATATCTCTGTCCTGAAACTATCTTTTCTCTCTCTTTTAAAAGATGGAGCGGCAAATGTCAATGAACTCCAACATCATGGGCATGCAGGGGCCGAACCTCAGCAATCCGTGTGCTTCACCTCAAGTCCCCGCAATGCATTCAGAAGCCAAAATGGTAAAAAGAAATGATTCCAACAATTATTTTGCTTTCTTACATTGCACTTACATGCGGGTTAGCCAGACAGTGGGGGATGTAGCCAGACACTGCTTACTTCATTCTTAGTCATACGTTGCACTCTTTCGAATAGGCTGCTGTAAATTGCCTTTGTGTCAGTTTGGTCTATGAACTTTTCAAGATGTTACCCATTCTAGCTCATTTCTCAGTGAGAAGAAACTGAATTGTAGAGCGGGCCACCTGATCTATGCTGTCTTTAAGAGGATTTGTGCTACAGATTTGTGGAATTTAAGCAAATGGCCTATCCGGATCTGTGAGGCTATCTGGGCACTGCAACATGACTTTAAAAGAAAAACTCTCAGTAAAAAAAGGTGTAGTAAAAAGTATCTGAGGTGGTGGCAGTGTGCATGGGCTTTGTGTTTTCATGGATAGTTGCGTGTTGTGTCAGGGCAGTGTCCGTGGTAGAAAAACAGACTGAATGACACCTATAAGCCCAGGATATTTTCTTTTGCTTGAGTGCAGCTGAATTATTGCTGGGGAAAAAAAAAAAAGTGTCAGAATTTGGATAAAAATAATTTACCGGGGAAATGTCATCGTGTTTTTCAAGCTGTTGCATGTCTTACAAGGTCAGGGCTCCTCAAGCATGTGTATTGATATAGGATTAGCCCAGGTAACTAAAATACAAGTGTGTGTACATAGGTCTCCCCTGGCTTTATCGATGCTGTCACAGAGGTATTGGGTAGTCATATCCTGGAGCCAAGTTCATCAGTGTTGAAATTCTTGGGCTTTTTCAGTTTCAGCGTGGCATTTGCTGGCAGGAATAAATACGAGGGCAGCAGTTTGCAGCTTAACTCTGTCGGGTTTTTACCCATTGGAGATACCTCATCGCAGTGGAAAACAGGAGTAACTTCCCTGAACTCTTTGGCTGGCCCCGCGCCAGGGCAAAATTGTCAGAAGTGGGAGAATGAAACCAAGCCGGCCAGGATTGAGCAACCGCATGTTTTTATACATTTCTGCTTTGCATGACTGGTGCGGCTCCGAGCTTGCTGTCATCTCTCCCCAGGCAAATACAAATATCTTCCCGCCTAGGGATCGGCCGAGCTTGTCCGCAGACGCAGCGCGGGCAAGAACCCCTCGGCGGGGAGCAGCGAAGCGGCGCGGGCTCCTTCCCGCTCCGTCCTCGTGGGCCGGGCGGGTGGTGCCTTCACCTCCGCGCTCGGGTTCGGCCGCTCACCCAGGCCCTGTTAACAGCCGGGCTCAAACCGCACTCCGTAAACACGCGGCCGCTGGGCCAGGACGGGGGCGACGGCCAGAAACTCCGCGTCGCGCAGCCAAGGAAAACCTGTGGTCAAGAGGTCCCCTCCGCCGCTCCGGGACCAGCCAAATGGCAGCGGCGTCTGCAGCGCCGCTCGTTAAAAACCTGCTGGAAGAGGCGAGTGTTTTTTCAGCGCGAGCGAGGCTCAGCCAAACTAAATACTACTTGGCTGAATAAATCCCAAGCTGGCATCTGTTTTGGGGACTAAAGGTTCTGCAGTTTATTCCACACCCCCCCCACCCGCCGCCTCCTCCCGCTTTTCTTTTTTACTGGCAGCGCGAGGCTGCTTAAAAATAGGATCAAATTCTTGGTGCGTATGGTGAGAATTGTGCGCTTTAATATGTGAAGCCGTGCCTTAATGCAAATTGCTTTAGAGGCTGCGTGAGGGGCTTGGGCCTCAAATCTAACAGAAAAAGGTATCGCCCTTTCGAGCAGAAATTGCTATCAGTTCCGAAAGAGCAGAGCGAGCAAACCTCTCCTGTGCTTCTAAGGGGCTTTCTGCCTCTCCTCAAGGGTGGAAAAAACCCACACAATTAACTCTGTTGAGTTAAGAGGCATCATTCAAAGCTCCAGGAAATTCTTTTAAATTATTTTTTAAAAATATTCTATGATATATTTTAATATTTTATTTCTCTTTGGTCACACCAATAATATAAAAGACACTTTATTTGGCCATTGCTTTATAGAATGAATTTATTAGCAATACTCAATACGAATACAAAAGCAGGGGAAAAAAAGTAGGGAATATTTGGAGTAAAATTATTCCTCAGATATAAGTTTATGGATTTAAGTCCAAATCATCTGTATTACAGGCATGATGTTTGCTTCTTTTGTTAACCAATGCCCTTTGCTTTGTGGTCGAAGCATGAAAGTTTGCACACTCCTGTTGTTAGTTGTTTTTTCTGAAGAAAGAAAGAAAGTAAATGAGGATGCTTAGTACGGTATGGAACTGAGGAATATCAGGTTCTGCTAATGCTATTACTGATGATGGATCCAATACTGCATATGTTCTGTTTGGCTGGTAGCATGCTGAGAGGTATATGTATGTATATAAATATATGTATATATATGTGTGTGTGTGCGTTGAACACTAGGCAGGAGTCATCCAGGCTCCTTGCAGCTAATGACAGCAGGACCTGGAGAAGTTTGGGGGACTTTGGACCTGATTCCTCTGCCACCCAAAGCAATGACAGATGGGCCAGGGTTTTCTTTGCACCTGCATGGAGGGATGCAGGACAGACTCCTCCTGATGGAGGAGATAGATAAGACCAGATGTGGTATCAAATCCTTTTGGCATTTTGCACATGAGATCAGGCACCTGGGCAGTGCAGGCATGATTCAACATGCAGCAGCAGACACCCCACTTGGTCACTCCTGTGAGCTGCTTTGCTTCTGTAAAATAAATATGAATAAATATATCTCGGTGGGCACTGTGTCATGGCAGGATTTTCAGAGAGAGCAGATAGACGGCAAAATTTTCTGTAATAGGTTTGTAGCAGGAAATGTAAGCATTTTCATATGGGTATGTGTAAATATATATATACACCCATATGCATATAGATTATGTATTGCATTAACATTATAGTTTACATGATATCATACACTCTTACATACTATATAGAGTATATATACACACACTTGCTAGCATTTATGGAAGGCAAAACTCTGCCACCCAAGGTGCTTTTTAACTTTTTTTTTTTTTCTGTAGAATTCTACTTCAAATATTAATGTATTGTAGATGACATCCCAGAACCGATTTAATTTATCACAACACACTCAGTTTCCTTCCCGTGTGCCGCTCCGTTAGTGCATCACCTAAAGCTTTAAAACTGTCTTAGTAAATGAAAGAATGAACATCTAAATCAATACTGCCTCCTTGTTAGATTCAGAGCCGAGAGGATTAAAACCTTTACGTTGCCCACCAAAAACACACATTGATTTTGTATTAAAATATATTACACTGGAAAGTGGAAGGGACAGATACCTTTAAATGTACGTGTTAAAAAGAGGCAGAATGGCACATGTAGCATATTAACACGCGGCTCGATAGGCCAAGACTGTTATGAACTCGGAATTAGTGCCTTTGTGTTAGTACACAGCCTTACCTACGGTTGGGTTTGCAGAACGTGCAAGATAAGCGCCCTGCTCCGAGGCATTTCTGTGCACTCCAAAGGCGGAATCAAAGGCCAGCTGGCAATAAATACAACCTGGCTCAAAAATACAAGTTTCAGTTTGAACTGTTAAATTTTTTTTTTTTTTTTTTTTTTTTTTTTTTTTTTTTTTTTTTCCCGTCAGATATATAGTTTTATGAAATTTAAATAAAACACAATATGTGTGCTTTGGCTGTGCCTGCCTTCCTGACTGAATCAGTATGACTCAAAAAAAAAAGCTGCCATTTTCCTAGGTATATTGCGATAGGTGATACTGTTTTATACCCTGTGTGTATTGCTAGGATGAGCAGGAACGACAAAAAAAATTAATATGAAAATGTATATGGAATTTAAGAGTGAAAACATATAGGGAAAGAATAATAAGAAGCCAGTAAAGAGCGTGGGCCGGATTATAACGGTGAAATTGTCTGTATTACTCACACCTTAACTTAAACCTTCCTCGAGCCTTAACTCGTACCTTACTTTAAACCTTCCTCGAACCGTAACTGAAACCTTCCCTGAACCTTAAGCTTGGAGAATCCGAGTGCCTGAACCTTAAGCTTGGAGAATCCGAGTGCCGGAGCGGCAGGGTGGGAGCGGCCCCGCTGCAGGGGCGGAGGTGGCGGCCAGGCCGGCGCGAGGCCGCGGGCCGGGCGGGAGGCCGCGCGTCGGGCCCAGCGCCGCCGGCTCCCCTGTCGGCATCAGGCGGGAGGCCCTGGGTGCTCCAGCTTTACCTCCTCAGCGTTTCACGGCTGAAAATACGCCGTGAAGTATAATAAATGGTCTGAAGGCAGCGCTTTGGTACTGGGCTGCCTGGGGAAAGAAATCAGTTTAACAGAGCAGTGCACATCCCTTCAGGGCCAGGAGGCTTTTCTTGCCACAGATTCTGGACTACTGAGCGAAAGAAAAATGTCTCAGCTCGGTGGAGCTTTCAACAGCAATTCCTCATATAATCCTTCACAATAGAGCAATGAAAGCAGTGCGAGAGGAGGAGGGAGAAAAGGAGCAAAATAAAGTCTTAGAGTGTAAAACAAGAAGAGCTGAGACAAAATTCCTTGCACCAGGAACTGGGAAATGTTTGCAAGGAAGAGATTGTTAAATAGTTAAAAGTTTTGGAGCTTCCTCAACTATTGACAAAACTCCCTGCGCTGAAACTGTCTCTCCTGCTGCATTTGCGCCTATGTTTGGGTCCCCCAAGCCAAGGTTTCGGTGTGCTCCTCATCGGCGCTTGGGAATCCTCCCCAGGCAGTAGCTCTGCCCGCCGCCTGCGTCCCTGGCTGCGGATTAAGGTATTAATGTTACGGGTGAAGCTAATCATATTTTGTTTTGTTTGCTGAAACAGGACCGTGTCCCCGGCATGCCTAAATGCTGGATTATGAACGAAACTCGGTGGAAACTAATTCTTCTTAAGCTGTCAGTGGCTGAATAAGTGAAATGGAGATGAGGGCCGGGTCGGTTAGTCAGAGCTGCTGTGAATATGCGCTGAATACTTGATCTCACTTCTACCAAGTGCCTACAAATTGCTTCGCTTGTTG